AACAGCACCACCCATCCACCCCGGGGGGCCGCTGGAATCTTCCATTCCTGTTGTCTTACCTCAGGAAATTTAGCAAGGGAAATGCATCTATGATTTTAACAAATTGCATTTTCAAAGCATTAAAGAGCATACATATCATGGGAGGAGGAAAGGGCCAGACAGAGAAAAGGGAAGAGGATTTCCCTCATCCAGCTGTCTGGAACATGAAGAGTTAACCCAGAGTGCTGGGAAACAGGTGCTGCCTGATTTGCCTGGAGGAGGGGGAGGAGTCCCCCGTCTCTGGGAGAGACTGAGGGGAGCTCAGAGGACCAGGCCAGGCGGCCACCACCAGCAGAGGAGAAGCCGGGCTCTTGGAATGACATTGGAAGGTCAGCCAATCAGGCAGGGAGCTTTCAGCCTCAGAGGCCCGAGCCAAGCCAAGCCAAGCCGGGCTCCCTCTCCAGTTTGGAAGGGCTATGCAAATGCCCTTCTCTGCACCAGCCCCAGGTGGAGAGGGGTGGGGGGAATCCTCCTTTACAATTTAAAACAAAGACCTGCCAGACCTTCCCTAGCCAGCCATCCTCTGCTGAGGATTCCTGTTTAAACCCATTCAAGACATGGAGTCTGGGCTGGCACATAGAACTTGGGAGATGCTGGCAAGGTGGCTTCCCGGCGGTCCTCCCTCCATCCCAGGCAGCGGCTTTGCCTGTCTGCTGAAGACTGGCTGGCTGGCAGAAGTCCTGTGAGGTTTGCCGCCCACTAGTGTCCTAAGGCGGGGACACAATTGACATGCAGGTACACCACCTCCCTGTCTCCCTGCATGGCCAGGCCCAGCATGCACTTCAGCAAGGCAGCCAAGAAAATGCCCCCTCGCCCAGACACAACCCACAGCGGCGGACGTGTGCGGCCCCAGGCGCCTGCCGGGCTGTGGGAAGGTGAGCCAGCCGCTCAGGTACAGCAGAGCCTGGGTGTAGAGGAGCTCTCTGAAAATGACACCACCTCCCCCACCGCCAATGTCCTGCTGATGCAAAGCGTACGCTGCCTCACCACTTATTGATTATGCATGAGTCAAATTCATAATCTCAGCTGATTTGAGGAACTCCACATACCGCAGGTTTTGGTCGATGTGTATATTCATGTCTCTATTTTCGAAGCATGAATTCTCAGTCTCCTATGGGGTGGACCCCTCCCATCAAATGCCAAATGTACAAGGAAGCCAGTCTCCGTTGGACAGAGTCAGAATATCTTATTTGCCCCCTGGACGCACCAATGCTGAAATTCTGGCCAGCTACGTGGAGATCATGGCATTGGAGATGTCAGTCAGCAAATTTTGAGTCAAAAATTTTGTCTCCTCTCCCATATTGCCCATGAGTCACTGATTCTCTGTAATGGCGCGGTGACACCCAGGCTGCAGAGGAGACAGTCAAGGAGCAGAGGCAGATCGGCTGGGCTGGCATTTATTAAAGGTCTGCCTGGCATTTTGGTTTCCCACACAGGGCATCTTCCATTAAAGAAAAAAAGCCTGGGAATTTTAGATGAACCCTGGAATTTTGAGGTCGAATTTTAATCTGCTTAACAAAGATAGGGGAGAGGAGAGAATATTTTTTGCTGACATCCTGTTACTGGGAATTAATTTTTTTTTTTTTTTACAATATCACCTTCAAAGCCCTCAGAGTGCATCCGTATGTACAAAGGTCTGCTTCGGTGGTTAAATAAAATACCAGCAATGCAGTGAGCAATCCCCATCCGGCAAACGGATGATGACCAGAAGCGCAGGTGCAGGAAGCACACTCACCTTGTCCTTGTGAGCCCCTCGCCACCGCCACCCCACCCACCAGCACCCCTCATCACCAAGAGCAGGGTGCAGTAAAACTCAACCCCTCACACCTCAGAAAAGACAGTGTCAAGGGATGTACGTATGTGTGTTTAAAAAAAAAGCAGAGATGCCTGGATACAGCAGGAATGTATTCTAATAAATCTGCTCGCTCCCCCCTCTCTGCTTGTCAGCTAACCTGCTGTATGCTTTTCATGGGGATTTGAACTAGACTGTGCTCTGGGCTTTGAATCAAGAGGACTCGTGACGGAACATGATGCAGAGGGCTGCATGCGCTGGGCAGGCATGGAGTGGCGTGTGTGTGGATGCGCGTGCATGCACACGCCCCTCGGTCTTGCACAGTACCACTGGCCCTCGGGCGAGGATTTTTGGAGCATTGCAGAACAGCTGGGCTGCTTGCAATAATTCCGGCACCTTATCAGGTGAGGTCATTGATAAGCCTTTAACCCATGAAGGGGCAGCCCTTGAGCTCCCTGTGCCTGTCCAAAATGCAGTGGCAGCCTGTCCAACAGCCATGCTTTTTATTAAGAAATAAAGGAGCATCCCATCACATCAGGAAGAAACATGCAACGCTTGCCTCCTGCTAAGGAGAGGAGACACTGTACTGTACACTGCTGCACTGACTCCTTCAAACAGCAAACGGCATAACCTTGTGCAAACACCATCTTATCCTCTCAGGCACTTTGATGTTTGAGGCCTGGCAATAATCAGGTAAGGTATCAGAGTTCATAGTAATAAATATTACTATTTCAAGGTTGTTTTTTTTTCAAAATCAAGCGAGGCCAAAACATGATAGCTATCGACCGAGAAAATAAAAAATAACATCTCTCCATTTTTTAAAAAAAAAGTCTCATTCAGATAGGTTGGAACCATTACTTTCATGTTTTTTGAAATACAGTCTTAGGAACAGGCAGTGTTCCAAACCAGACTCTATCTTATTTTAACCTGAGTATATATTTCATGATGCTCTGAATCATATGTGTTGAGCATCTTTCCTTGAAAAACTCTAAAGCTGCTTCTAAACACAACCTCCCCCCCTCAAAAAAATTGAAAAAGCCCAAAGCTCTGTGGGCACACTTCTTGTTTTTCTCAATGGTTGGTCATTCAAAAAGAGGGCCATTTTTAATCCATGCTAGCTCCATAGTCTTCTAACAGAGAGAAGCAGACCACAAACTGGAGCCATGTAAAATATCCATCTGCATGTATGGTCCATATTGCATCATCCGAATTGTGTCATCCGTCTACCCATGTTCATCTAGTACTCGTGATTAATTATCAACTGATATTAAGTCTTGAAGACTGTACCCACAGCATTAAACCTGCATGTACATACATAGGTTATCTGTGCATCTATTTTCCCTGACGTACAAGAATATTGAGGTTTAGTTGCAATCTTTTCTCTCTATACAATCCTTTCTATATTTTTTAAATCATGGGATAGTGATCCTAAACTATCTCTCTCTCTCTCTCTCTCTCTCTCACACACACACACACACACATACACACACATCAGAGATGCCCATACATGCCCATAGTCATGCCATACTTGACTATTTCTGTCATTTACTTCTTAAACTGGAAAATAGGTATCAGTGGGCTGATCATCAGAAGCACGGTCTCACTCAATATCCTGACACATATACTTCGGTCTCCATCCTATAACCCAGGTCTTTTGCAAGGAGCTCAGAGATGTTTGCCTTGACAGGTAACTCGGGCTGCTGAGCTTGGCTGCCTTGAACAGGCCTGCCTCATTTGTGCAGTTTTTGGTGAGTTCCCATGAGCACAGGAGCAGGCTAGCAGAAAGGAGTGACTTCCCCTTTACTCATTCTAGCTCCCAAGGCTCACCCCTCCTCCTCGCCTCCACCCCAAGAGGCAGGCTGGACTGGAAGAAGGTCCTCTGGGAAAGAGGAGTATCTAGTCACAACTGGTTGCAGTTTTATTTCCCCCTTGAAGGAAATCTCAACATGAAACTTTGGAACACTTTGCTTTAGATTCTTAGGAAAGAGCAAAGTACCATTTTGATCTTCCATTCCAGAGTTCCTTCTGTGTTGGGTTTCCTCTTTTCTTAGTCATCATTAAAAAAAAAAATCAAGAACAGCGTTTATGTGTTTCCTTCGGCCTGCTGGCGAGCAAGCTCCTCCCGGGCAGGTGAAGGGGGAAATGCAGCCAGAGATTCCTTATTTTATCTTCCAGGAAAATCTTAGACAACCCCCCCCCCCTTTCCTCTCTAGGTCCAGAGTTCCTCTCTCTCTCTCCCTCTCTCTTCCTCTCTCCCCACCTGCGCAAGGAATCCTGCTCAGTGCTTTCATGTTAACGGACATCAGGTTATACATTTGATGCAGATGTGCGTCCTGAAATCCAAAATGGGAATTAAGGCAGGAGCAAAGGACACCAAAGCACTGTCTGAGGCTCCCTCCTGCCAGGCAGCCATTGGTACATGGAAGTTCCTATCTACCAGGTGATAGGCAGCCCGACAAGGTGCGGCCACACTTGCTAATTGGCTCTGACTGTGGAGGGCAAAGAGGGTTCCCACACACACGCGGGGTGGGGGCGCGGGGCGCGGGGAGCAGGGGCGGGAGGGGAGAGGCGCAGGGACCCTGCGTACCGCTTCCCTTCCTTCCTTTTTATTTTTTCACAACTATACAGGTGTTTTTTATTTTTTTTCTAATTTGCCAATTGCCGATGATGTAATGCTCATGGGTGCATATTTTTACATAGACGGGGACGGGGTGCTGCGCCCCAAGCCTGGGAAGGACCGGCGGGTCCCTTCTCAGAGCCTGCTGCGAAGGAAGGAAGGTGGGTTGTCGCAGGATGAGGGCGCATGTGGGCAAGGCTGGGGCGCGGGCAGCCCCCGCGGGCCCTGCGGCCCCGGCCCTTAGCAGGCTGCCCTAGTCCAAGGGGCCGTCTCCCCCGCTCCTCCCCCTGGCCTCGCCTGGCCCAGGGGCGCCTGGCCGCGGAGTTAGGCAGGGAGCTGTCACTTGGCCACCATGACAGAGGCCCCCCTCCGCCCTCCCCACGCCACCTCCCCTCTCCAAAACCATACACATGTGTTTAAAATAAACCAAAGCGTGCACAATGGAACCCCGATGGGGGGAACGTGGGGGGGTCATCAGCACAGACCCCCTCCCCCCCCGCCACCCCCACCCCGGGCCCGGCCCCCCCACCCCCGCGCGCCGCCGGGGCTCACCATTCGCGAAGCTCTGGAACAAGGAGAGGGCCAGTATCCACATGCCCCTGCTGCCGCCCGGCCTCCCGCGCGCGAGCGAGCGAGCGAGCCACGCGCCGGCCTCGCCCCCCGCGCTGCGCCGCTCCGCCGGCCCCGGCTCGCGGCCCCGCGCCGCGCCCGCCGCGCGCCCGCCGCCGCCGCGCGCCCCGGGCGCCCGCTCAGGACGCCGCGGGCAGCCGGGCAGCGGCCGCCGAGCGCGGCCGCCGCGGGCCAGAGCTCATCGCGGGCGCCCAGCGCCCGGAACGCGCGGCCGGCCGCCTCCCTGCGCGGGCTCCGGCTCCGGCTCCGAGCGCGCCGCCGGCCTCACCCTCCGCAGCCCGGCAGCCGGCGGGCGGGCAGGCGCATCTTTCCTCCCCGTGGCCTCGATGGCGCGGGGCCCCCCGCGAGGCTGCCCGCCGGGCCGCCCTCCTCCTCGTCCTCTCCTCCTCGTCCTCTCCTCCTCGTCCTCTCCTCCTCGTCCTCCTCCTCGTCCTCGTCCTCCTCCTCCTCGTCCTCCTCCTCCCTCTTCCTCCTCCTCCTCCTCCCTCTTCCTCCCTCTTCCTCCTCCTCCTCCTCCTCCTCCTCCTCCTCCTCCTCCTCCTCCTCCTCCTCCTCCTCCTCCTCCTCCTCCTCCTCCTCCTCCTCCTCCTCCTCCTCCTCCTCCTCCTCCTCCTCCTTCTCCTCCTCCTCCTCCTTGCCTCCTCGCCTGCCTGCCGGGGTGCCGGGCTGGCTGAGCGTGGAGAGGAGCGAGAGAGCGAGAGAGAGAGTGGGGACGGGACCCCTCCCCTGCTCTGGCCGCTGGGGCGCTCTGCAGTCTTAAAGCAGCAGTGGAGAGAGGTGCAGCCGGACTGGAGGCAGGACCCGGAGGGGGGGAGGAGGGAGGGAGAGAGAGAGAGAGAGAGCGCGCGCAGGCACCGCACCGTCACGCAGACACCAGGATGCGTTTCTCAGAGGCTTAAAGAATCATTTCCACAACTGATTGTTTTTAGTGGAGGGTTCCCTCCCTCTCTCTCTCTCTCCCTCTCTCTCCCTCTCTCTCTCAGCGGAGACCATTCTCCAGGCCCACCAGCTTCGCGCAGAGGTGACCGCACAAGGTTAGCAGATTTCATAAATCGTGCAGCAGGATTCGTGTGCACGCCTGGAAATTTTAGAAAGTCAGTTCATCTGCCTCCAGGAAACCCTCCCTTCCCGGTCCTGGCAGCCCTGTGAAGAGATCCCATTCCTCTGGCTAATTTTTAATTATCCTGAAAATATCCTGGGATACAATTCCAAGTCTGCTCTCTGAATGGGGGGGGGGGGGGGCGTGGTGATTAAAACTGCTGATAACGTGTGTGATTCCAAACACACGCCCTCTTCACACTGCTCTGTGGAGAAGCCAGCGGAACACGTCCCCAGCTTGCTACCCCGAGTCCTGGACGTGAGAATCATATTCAGATATAGCTCTCCAGATGGCCTGCATTCTTGTCCATCATTTTGAAAGAGAATGACCTACAGGGCTGGAGTGCTCTGCACCCCAGTGTAACAGCCAAAATCAAGTGAACCCCATCAAGGCTACAGAGACCCAGAAAGCATTTGGGGGAGACAGGAGGGAACCCCAGGCTGGTGTCCTAAGCCCTAGGTACCCTCTGCATAGGCTGCACACCCCTAGATGTTCAACACACCTAACAGCTCACACATAGCACAGGCTAAGGAAAGTGGTGAGGCAGAAACAAAATGGTGCTTTACCAGGGTTGGGCAGAAGATGGCCAGGCCCGTGTGTACAAGGAAGGGTCAGCTGAGCCCTGATGCCTCGGCCGCCTTGCTCTGCAGCTGCAGGTGAAGGTGGTCACAGGCGGCCTGCCTTGGGCTTGGCAGGCACCGGCTGTTCACTCCCTAGGCCTTCCTTCCTAACGCAGTCTGAGAAGGCAGGCAGCCAGCCCTGATTCCATCCCTGCTTCTAGCTGGATCTCTGTTTGTTCCGTTCACACATTCGTCAGTAGACATCTGCAAAGGTCAGCTCAGCCTGAATCAGAAAGAGCTCCAACACTAGGATCCACACACTGGGCTCAAAGCCCAGGCTCTGCTCCCCACCTCTAGGGACTTGTGCCTGGGATGGGAGCCTCTGTTTCTTCTTATGCAAAATGGAAATGGCCAGGGCTCTTAACTCCCAAGGCTGTGGAGCGCTGTGGCTTTTGCCCTTGGTCTTGTGTCCATCAATGACTAGAGTTCTTATTGAATTTGGGAGCAGGGATGGCCACATAATTTTGGTGCGGGTCCAGTATAAAATACAAATGGAGAACTCCTTTTAAGGAAATTTTAGGCCTGGTGCTGGCAGCTCATGCCTGTAATCCTAGCTGTTCAGGAGGCTGAGATCCGAGGAAGGAATGTCCATGAGACTCCTATCTCCAATGAACCACCAAAAAGACAGACGCAGAGTGACGGCTCAGGTGGTAGGGCACCAGCCTTGAGGAGGCGGGGGAAGAGAAAAGCTCAAGGACAGCGCCCAAATCCTGAGTTCAAGCTCCATGACTGGCACATAGTAATATTATTAAAATTAAAATGAATTAATTTTAAAAAAGTTCTGATGGGCAGTCCTGAGAGAGAGAAGTCTGTCTTTTCTTCTGCACCTATGATGAGGTCTTTCATTTGCGATTTCATGCCGTGCCTCTTGGAGTATGGAATGGTCTGATGAAGGCAGCCCTCCCTCATGGGTGCCAGGACTCTACCAAGCATGGCCCGCACGGCCCACACGTGCCGCTGCCCCCCACCCGGGCAGGGGGGCGGCCAGCCAATCTAACAGGAGACGGCCAAGTGAACAGAGCACCTGGATCAGCAGTGAGTAGAGGCCCAGGTGGCTTGCAGAAGAAGCTCTGATGCTGCCAGCCTGGGGTGGGTACCGCGGCTAGACCTGCCTGGAGACTTCATCCCATGTGCACTCCCAGACCCAAGACGCCATCCCGTGTGCGCTCCCAGACACGAGACATCATCCCGTGCATGTGCACTCCCAGACCCAACATGTCATCCCGTGTGCACTCCCAGACCCGAGACGCCATCCCGTGTGCACTCCCAGACCCGAGACGCCATCCCGTGTGCACGCCCAGACCCGAGACGCCATCCCGTGTGCACGCCCAGACCCGAGGCGCCATCCCTTGCATGTGCACTCCCAGACCCAAGACGCCACCCCGTGTGCACTCCCAGACCCGAGACGCCACCCCGTGTGCACTCCCAGACCCGAGACGCCATCCCGTGTGCACTCCCAGACCCGAGACGCCATCCCGTGTGCGCTCCCAGACACGAGACATCATCCCGTGCATGTGCACTCCCAGACCCAACATGTCATCCCGTGTGCACTCCCAGACCCGAGACGCCATCCCGTGTGCACTCCCAGACCCGAGACGCCACCCCGTGTGCACTCCCAGACCCGAGACGCCATCCCGTGTGCACTCCCAGACCCGAGACGCCATCCCGTGTGCACTCCCTGACCCAAGGCACCATCCCGTGTACACTCCCTGACCCAAGGCACCATCCCGTGTGCACTCCCAGACCCGAGACGCCATCCCGTGTGCACTCCCAGACGTGAGACGCCAGCCCGTGTGCACTCCCAGACGTGAGACGCCAGCCCATGTTCACTCCCAGACCCGAGACGCCATCCCGTGTGCACTCCCAGACCCGAGACGCCATCCCGTGTGCACTCCCAGACCCGAGACGCCATCCCGTGTGCACTCCCTGACCCAAGGCACCATCCCGTGTACACTCCCTGACCCGAGACGCCATCCTGTGCGTGTGCACTCGCAGACCCAACATGTCATCCCATGTGCACTCCCAGACCCGAGACGCCATCCCATGTGCTATGCAAGCCCTGAACTTCCCCGTGTGCATACCCTGGCCTCACCAGGATAGTGGGTAAGAGTTGGGCACAGACCTGCTGCCCCCTAAATAACCAGCTGCAGACCCTGTGGAAAGCAGAACACTCACAGGTACAGAGCCTGGTCAAGACCTGGGAGACTAAGAGGTGGTGGACAGGCAGCACAGAATCCGAGGCTCCATTGATGGAGGAAGTAGGAGCCCAAGAATACAGCCACTCTCAGAAGGCCCAAGGCGGCAGCGGAACATTCTAGCTTAAGTGCAAAGCCCTCTGAGCATGGAGGGCTTGGAGGACCCATGCACGGCCATCGGTTCCATCCCATGAAGTCAGCCCTCTGTACGTGGCATTCGTCTGCCACTGGCTGAATGGTAGAAGACTGTGACTGGGTTGGACTCATGCACCGCGTGTATCCTTATGACCGGACAGAAGTGTGTACATCCTACATAACTGAGCTAATGAGATCAGATATTTACCGCTGGTCAGCGTGGAGGAGCGGCTCCTAGCAGTACCTAGTAAATGTTTGTGGACTGAAGTGGGACTCTCCAATGCGAATGGAAAGTGGGGCTTGGCCTATGGTATTCACCCAAAAGCATGGCAGAAACTCAGAGAGGAAAGTGAGCACTCTGTACTGGCTCTCCCAGAAGCCTTTGGGAGGAAAGAGAACCAGAGCCTCTAGGCCCTTACCATGTCTCCATGAAAAACCGAGTCTGTGTAGAGGCAGGGAGGGTGGAAACAGCTCACCAGGAGTCAGCCCTCCATTCCTCCCACCATTGGCAGATTTGAGCATCCGAGAGGAGCTGGCCGTGAGCTGAAGTAAACCGTTCTTGATTACATGGGACAGGGCAGGCTGAGAAAGAGGCGGGGGTCTGGGGGAAGGCCGAGGGCATCAAATGCGTATGGCCCAGCACAGCTCTTCCCTCTCCATTCTAACCAATATAAGATCTACCCCGTGAGGACCCACCTCTGGTCTAAACCCATTCCATATGGAATTGCTCTCTCTCTCTCCTACAATTCCATCTTATAGATCAAGGTCAACCTTTGTAGCAGAAGAGTCAAAGTCAAGGTCAAAAGGCCAGCTTTGGGCCCACAAGCCAGTCCAGAATCTTCCAAGCTATATCAGTGGCCTCTCCTCCTCCGTCCTCCCAGGGAGGACTGGAAGAGCTGCCCCAGGGGAAGCCTGAGGCTGCCCTGCTGGGCCAAGGAGGGCATATCGGGTAGAAAGGTCCCTGCTGGTGGGAGGCTGCCTCCAGGCTCCCCTGTCACCCCTGCACAGTGAG